CAGATGTCATTACTTTGGCATTTATCCACCCGTTTTCAACCTAGAATATGACATTGCCTGAACTCGACATATTTTGGAATGTTTATTAACTGTCAAAATTTTGTTAGCTACACCGGGAGCTCAAATTGGAGTTAATAATTTTTGTACTACTTTTTTTTGATCGCAACTGTACATGATGACATGTAAAAACTAGCAAGAAGAAAAAGGCCATAATGTTATAAAAACATGGTACGGATATATTATTAAAACATTACATAGACATTTAACAATTGATGTTTCAAGACATTCTATTATTCACATTCGCTTTGTACGCGCATTATGTAGGTACTATAAACCAAAATTATTTTCTAAACTTTTTTGCCTCCTCAATCAATCAATCAAATAAGCTTTATTGTCAAAAAAACAAATAATGTCATAGACAAAGCAGGCCTTAAACCTAATAAAACAATTAAAATTATCCTCGAAATTATCTATTATCTATCTATCATAAAAAGGATAAAAATTTCAAAAAATGATCCACAACAATCGAAACCAACACAAAGAATTGTAAAAACTGAGGCAAAAACAAACAAAAAATAAAAATAAAACTTAGAAGTAGTCACGGACGTCAACTACCTATCACTCACATAATTATGTCACACAAATTAAATTAAAATGACGGTAAAAAATATATATATATATATATATATATATACATTATACGTGCGCTACAGGAATAAAACAATAAGCACAAATCACAAAAGTCAAATCATGAAAATAAAAATAAAAATAATAATAATAATGATATTGGCAGAGCCAATCAATTGATACAGTCAAAATCTATCATTCCAAAACTCAGTACAGTTATAATAAGCCCTCTCAATTAGTAACCTTTTCACCATCCCTTTAAATATTTTGTTGCTTTCCACTTGTCTTATTTCCACAGGTAAGTGATTAAATAATTTCCGACTATTGTATATAATAGAATTTTTAATTTGTGTCGAGGATGGTATTGGCAGTATTATATTATAAGTTTGCCTCGTGTTATACAAACCTGTTGCATGCAAGCTATTTCTATATTTTTTATGAACTAGGCATCTGTCTCTAAAATAAATAGACTGGGAAGTGTTAAAATTTTATGTCTTATGAACAAAGGTTTACATGAATCTCTCATTTTAGCTCCACTCAAATACCTTATGGCTCTTTTTTGCAGCACAAACACACTATCAAACAACTGCGCAGAACATGTACCCCAAACACCTCACATAAATGGTATTTTAGCGCTATGAATCCTCATAGCACGGGTCATACATTCCATAAAATATTCCTTTTCAGCTCAATGACAATTTTACAAATTCAGTTCCATAAAAACATTTGATGACCATAAGTGAGATTCCGAATGTAAGAGTGCAAAATGCTGTTGACTAATAATTGAAAAAAGGCTCAAATATAATAGAAATGTTATTATAGCGCTTATAAATTATTTCCTGAAAACAAAAGAAGTCCAAATAATTATAGTTACTTTACAAAAATATGTTTTTATTAATCAACTAATATAAAAATTTAATATGGTTTAATTCATCGTCTTCAGTTGAAATCTTGTAATGTAATAAAGTAGCTAATAATTTTATTTATTTATCATCCTCTGAATCTTCTTCGTCACTGTCAGTCATTCTTTCGCCCTCTATAATAAAATCTACAATATAAGAAATAATTTATAAGCACTATAATAACATTTCTATTATATTTGACCCTTTTTTCCATTATTAGTCAACAGCATTTTGCACTCTTACATTTGGAATCTCACTTATGGTCATCAAATGTTTTTATGGATCTGAATTTGTAAAGTTGTCATTGAACTGAAAAGAAACATTTTATGGAATGTATGACCCGTGCTATGAGGATTCATAGCGCTAAAATACTATTTATGTGAGGAGACAGAAAAAGTTTAGAAAATAATTTTGGTTTATAGTACCTACATAATGCGCGTACAAAGCGAATGTGAATAATAGAATGTCTCGAAACATCAATTGTTAAATATCTATGTAATGTTTTAATAATATATCCGTACCATGTTTTTATAACATTATGGCATTTTTCTTCTTGCTAGTTTTCACATGTCATCATGTACATAACCTAAAATCATAAAACCGATATGTTTAGAGCAGGGGACAATATGGAAATAACCAACATTTTTGTCGGACAATATTTTACTGACGCATAATTACGCCTAATTAAGCATTCCTGAAACGTCCAGCTTGCTGGTTATCACATAACCCAAAACCATAAAATCGACATGTTTAGAGCAGGGGACAATATGGAAATACCCAACATTTTTGTCGGACAATATTTTACTGACGCATAATTACGCCTAATTAAGCATTCCTGAAACTTTCAGCTTGCTGGTCATTACAACTTGCGTCTATTTCTCAACGTGACTCCTTCAGTATGCGCGTGCGCGTACTTTCCACAGAAGATTTTAAGGTTAGGTTTTCCTGTTTTGTTTTGATTTTGAACTTGTACTTGTTTCGTAACGTAACATTGTTTCTACTGACCCTAAAGTTTCTATTCACTTCGTTTAGGGTAATTTTTGTAGTTACATATCTGTTGATTCGTATCGTGATGGAGGGAAACAGTGAAAACATTAAAAAGGGCTTATAGATAAGTAAAAGTGATTGAGTAAGTCTAATGAGAAGTAAGTCCAGAAGTGAAGATGTATCCAAATTTTGTAGATATGTATATGTCTGTACTTGGTGTTCCAAAACATTTTCAAATCAGGGCAATTTAAGCAGACATACCAAAAATATGCATGATTCGTTGGTGGCTGGAAGGAAAAAAACAATATTTCCTAGAAAAAATGATTTCTTTGTCGGCGATGCCCGGATAAACAAAATCAAAAAATTGATGCTCTTGGACTAAATTTATTCTCAATTCTTTATGTGTAGAGTTTTTGCAACAGTTTTTGCTTATCCGGGCATCGCCGACAGAGAAATCATTTTTTGAAGGAACCTCGATTATCTGTGGCGGGGACTATAGATACTTTCTTTTAAATTTTATGTGCATTTTGATTTTTTCTGTGTCAAAATAAATTTTTCACCCAAATACATAGGTACCTTTGTGTTTTATTTATTACAGATATAAATAGTTAAGGGCTAGATTGAGTTTCTTGCGCTAATTTTTTGCTAAGTAAAAAATTATCCTAAACGGGGTGGATAGAAATTCCAGAGTCAGTAGAAACAAAATTAGGGAATTTAGGTAACAACGTACAAGATCAAAATCAAAACAAAACAAAAAAACCTAACCTAAAAATCTTCTATGGTAAGTAGGCGCACGCGCATACTGAAGGAGTCACGTTGAGATATAGACGCAAGTGTCATTACATAACCAAATATCATAAAAAGAACATGTTCAGGGTGGGGGACAAGTGGGGAAATACCCATCATTTTTGTCGGACAATGTTATACTGACACATAATTACGCCTAATTAAGCATTCCTGAAACTTTCAGCTTGCTGGTTATCACATAACCAAAAATCATAAAAACAACATGTTTAGGGTGGGGGACAAGTCGAAATACCCAATATTTTTGTCGGACAATGTTATAGTGACAGAAAACTACACCTAGTTAAGCATTCCTAAAAGCATCAGCTTGCTGGTTATCACATAACTTAAAATCATGAAATGGACTGTTGTGAATCATTTTTTGAAATTTTTATCCTTTTTATGATAGATAGATAATAGATAATTTTAATTGTTTTATTAGGTTTAAGGCCTGCTTTGTCTATGACATTATTTGTTTTTTTGGCGATAAAGCTTATTTGATTTGATTTGATTTGACATCTTTTCCGCGGTGCCGAAGGAAACCCTCCCGCAGGCAAACTTTTTCCACATAGAAAAGTTGTCCGACTCGTCACGCTTAAGCTATACACGAGCTTACAGCTTGCTGGTATTCATTTTTTTTTCTTATGGTGTATCAAGGACTAAGAGTAAAAATACCTCGAAAAATACATAATAGTGATGAAAAATATAAATTATTTAAAAAAAATGAAATATTGAATTGAGTATTGAATTATACACTACACACAAGCCGAGACACAAGCAAAACAAACACCAATGGAGCAAAGTATGGCTCTCGGTATTGCATAAACCGGGGCATAAACATACAAATACATAAATGTGAGGCAACATACCTATTTTTAATTATTTTGAAAAAAGGGGCTCTGGTGAAAGAGAGTAAAAGCACCAAGCACATAACATAAAACTTTTGAGCGACTGAGCTGGAGAACATGTTTTCCCCAACATTTTGATATTAAACCAGATATTTCCAAAACTATTGGAAGAAACATTGATATATTATCGAGCATATTATGTTTATGTTCATGAGAATTTTGAGAATTTGAAAGATAATAAAGTGCATTCCATTTGAAAAAAGTGAGGCAAAAAGTGAACATCAACATATTTTTTCACTTTGTGTTGCTTATTCGTTCAATCCCGAGGTTCAATCTAATTAAAAATTCTTGCAGTTCAGATAAAATTCTACATTTCTTGTATTTACACCTTTTACCTATCACCTGTACTTAATTACGCCTGCAGGGGGGTGTCAAAATGTAGTAACTCATCCTTCACCCTGTACCAACTGGGGTACCAACTAGGCAAAGCTATTTTTATGGAAATGGCTGAGTGCAATGATTGCAGGCCTTTAAACAGTGCACTCGAAGTACATATTAATTCACATGAAGACAATGTTGCTGATAGATGCCGATTATGGAAACAAAAATTTAAATATGACTTATCTACTCGCTTATCTAAGTAAATACTTGCAAGACAAGTAATACCTAAATCGAAGTTTGGTTTTGTGTGAAAGAGTAAAAATAAAAAATTAACTTAATTGTTTCCCAATTATTAAACACTAAAAAATAGTAATAAATGAATAAATTAATATTCATCAATTCACTTGATACTGTGGTACTACAGTACAGAGTACAAGTTAATGTAAAATATATATTAATCCAGCAATATTACCTTTAAATTTCCACCTTCAGACAATGTAGTATCATCCAGAGGTTCTGGATCCTCTGGTAGGCCAGCCACAACAAAATAATCAGCGATCCTTCGATCTTCCATTTTAAATAATACAAACTACTGTTTCACTGTGACACGAATCAATTTAAGGCACATTTTAGTCTCGTTTTCACTATACCTAATGGTGTTGTAATTCCAGTTTATAGTACATTTTTTATTGTTATTTCGTTATGAATGAGTCATTTGTGCTTCAGGCGAATTGGACTACTGGGTTGGAACGATATTTTTTTTGTGTGGTTCTGTACAAGACACAACACCGAGACTTTCTAAAAATTATAAATGTTTATGCGTGCTAATAGTTTTTTGTAATTAAAATTAAAGTGAAGACTTACATTTTGAATATTTGTTAATATCTTTTCTCTAATTAATTATTATTTATTTTGATGACTTTTTCTGACGGTGTATAGGTTATATTTGACGTTTTTGCGTTGTATGATTTGGTGCCTGTCAATATATTACAGATTCCTGCTTTTATTGTAGTAATTTAGTAGATGGCGCCCCAATAAATACATATTTTCTACACTCTAAGCTGAATTCGGAATGGTAGAAAGTGTCGACACTTTTTACACTATTGACACTGTACTGTAGGTAGAAGTAAATTTGGTGTATACTTTATTCGCGTTTGGAAATGAGTTGGTGTCCAAATTGTCTGAAGATGGTGGGACACCGTTTACTCGTTACAAAGTGATGGTGTATTTGGTGTTACACCGGCGATTACACCTTCATCACGTGATACAACACTGCACTATACGAACAGTGCACTAGCACTGCACTAAAATCCCATTCCGAACTCAACTACTGACTGCACTTAAGAAAGTACAGTGCGTGTTGCTACACGATACCGCATCATTCGTAAATGATCTTATCGATACGATATTCTTTCAAAAACTTCTTTCGTATATCGATACGATAGTGATGAGAGAATATCGATACGATATTTTTATGAACAAACACAAAAATAAACAAAGCAAACATAACCTAAAAAAACAAACAAATCAAACATTTTCTTTTAGTATCTGTTTACTGGCCTTACTACAAACACTTGATAAAACCACACCAACTTGAATTTCTTATCAAATTTTCTCAGTTATATCATTCGGACCTTCTGAAGTCATGGCTGAGGCTCTGCCAGAAATGCCAGAATCCGCAGAAGCTCTCTCTGAGTCTGAGTTTAGCTCAGACAGTGAGGAGGAACCTGAAGTTCCTGAAGATATTGTGCCACCCAATGAACGATACAAATATTTCCGTTGGGGTTCCATCCCAGAAGAAAATTCTTCAGAATATGAATATGTCTTACCCGATGTTTCAGAGGACATTAAACAAAGCATGCAGGCAGACTGTCTTGATAAGTATCCGGATGAAGCCGATGTAGTGCAAATAATAGAAACAACGTAAGGATTAATGCTTCCTAATATTGAAATTTATTAATATAATTCTTGGCTAGTTTGCCTCCACTGGATCCATTGATAATGTACTCGATTCAATTGCACAAATGGATGAAAAATATGACAGAGACCATACATTTAACAGAAATTGCTAATGAAGGAAATCTTGTGATGGCTGAAGATGCGAAGGTTCCTATTCCAGAAATGCCAGAAGTTAAATTTATGAGTCATCAACATCAGTGGAGTTTTATGCCTAGATTACCTCTGTAAGTAGGATACTTTTTAAAAAGTTCATTATAATGATTGTTTTATTATAGCAAAGTAGCACGAATAGAATTAGATATTCCAGAATTGAGTGATGCTATGGTTAAACAGATGTTACCAAAATCCATTGCAGTAATGCTGGCTCATATTGGATTTGAGGGTATTTTTTTCCATTTGTAGAATTTTCCAAGTAACATTTCAATTTTTTTTAGAGACCAATAAAAGTATTCTTGACATATTGGTTGACGTTTTGGAACAATTTCTTTTAAAAATTTCCAACAGATTTGTAGAGGCCTTAAATGAAGAGGAAAGTCTTGGCACTACCGGATTTCCTGTGAGTTTTACCATTATTTTGATATCAATTTACATGATAAAATATTTTTTGCAGAACATTATAGAAAGAGTCCTTGTAGAAATCGGATTTGGTGGCTGCAAAGGTTTACAGGATTACTACCAAACCAGAGTTATTAAATATATGAAAGTGTTACAAAATCGATGTCAAGAATTAGATAATCATTACTCGTCGTTGGTACTAAAGAAAAGTGATTCTCCTGTAGGAGAATTTGGAACGTAAGTTTTTTGTTTTGTTTAAACAAATAATATGCATTTTTTATATTTAGGTGGTTTAATATAAAAGTGAAAAAGGAAGATAGAAAAGAAGGCGAGGAAGGTGGTTATGGTGAATCTGATCTTATTACTACAGAATATCAGCTATTGAGTAATTTGGAATGTACTGACATGTGAGAAATATGCAAAAATTATGTTGTTGATTGGTAAATAATATCAATTGTTTCAGGTTTATGATGGATACTGTCCCTGAGTTGCCTTACTCTCATTGATTTTTATTAGTAATTGTTTTACTCTACATAGTTTTTGATTCCTTAGCTTTAAAGATAATAGTATATTACAATCCGAGACGGGAAATGCTTCATTACTGGTCGAGAGGTTTTATAGCTTATCGAGACGCGTAGCGTCGAGATAAACTGAACCTCGAGACAGCAATGAAGTTTCCCGTCGAGGTTTGTATACTATTTTATTTTTAACCATAATTTCTTGAAAAAAAAAAATTCGGGGCAACCAAATGAGGTCGGCAAATGAAGAAGAAAATGAGAACGGGAAATATTTCCCTGCTCCATTTTCCGTCCGTGGACGGGAAATGAGGACGGAAAAAATTTCCCGTCCTGGGACAGGTAATGGAGCAGGAAAATGAAAAGACAGAAATGTGACATTTTCAAATTTTTGAAAAGTCAGTAATGACAACATTTCATATATGGTTAAAAATAATAGCTATTTATAGAACAAGTACATAAAGTAAGGCTTTATTGTACGAATAATTTCATGGCCGAGCGAGCTTGCGAGCGAGGCTATTAAATAATGAGTCAATAAAGCCTGTTTATGTAAGCGTTATATACATGATTTTATGTACGATTGCGACTGATTTTTGTTAAAAATTAAAAAAATTTAATGAAAAAAGTAAAATTCGCGTAAGGTCCGTTTCACCAGGGTTCATACTTGACCTTGAAACTTGAAAAAAAAGGGTTGTCGTAGATCGATTCATATGACACATGCTTCTGTTGCTGCCTTTAAGAGGAGATTGCAACCGCTGCTTGCTGGTTAGTTTTTTAAAAATGAGTAGTATGTTTTTTGGTTAGGTATTAACTTGGGGAAGAACAGGATGTGATTGTTAGTGCTTAGATTTAGTTATTGTCAAACTATTTATTGTAAATTGTTTTACGATTGTTTTTGTAAATTGGCCTTGCCGTTAATAATAATAATAATAATAATTTTTTTGACAAATTAAAATGAATGACTTTTGGTTAAGAACCGACAAACGTTTTTGACGTCAGTGATTTATTTCAGTCAATTTTTATTTGTTAAACAAGGAAGGTAAATGCTGGTGGCAAGTACAAACCCTGGCGAAACAAACTTTAGGTATATCTGTTTCACCTTGGCAGGTTGTCAGGACTAAAGATAAGGGATACAAAACTCTCTCGAACCTATAATATAGATAGGCAACTCAATACAAACATTTTGTTCCTGATTACAGCGCCCTCTCGCGTGTGTAGTCAGCACCTTGAGAGCGCGGGAAGCGCTCCTTTTCAAATTAAATTTTTTTATTTTAGTATCCGTTTATCATTTTTATTGCCACTACCACTAAACAATTTTATATGTTTCTAGTGGAAATAAAATTATGATAAATAGTCTCTTGATCACATACCGAAGAGTAACATACTAATTAATCCATGTATTAAATACAAAAATAACAATTTTGAATTACTTTATTACCTATACAGTATGATATCGATACAATCAATAATAGTTACCTACAATCAATAAGATTTTTTGATTGTGAACGTTTTGCAGGCATAAAATAAACACCTAAATAGAAAGAAAAGTTACAGTCGTAAAATTACAGGAGGTAAAATCCCGATTTCGGTATAATGTAGGGATTGAAACATACCTGCTCATCATTTTTGGACATTCGATGCATTTTTACTTTGTTCCCGCGGGTTTCACACATTGCCACACAACAAGAAAAAACCATTTTGCTTTGAACGGAAAAAATTTTCAATCTCTGATTAAAATTATTGAATAAAAATGAAATATGTCAAAATTTGTCAAAATATGATGAAAAAGTAAAAGTGGAGCGACGCTGCCATATGTCATTTGTTTTGGAAAAGAAATGTAATTTCAAATCGTACTACTGGCAATTATATGTTAGCGAGGTACACGACTTTTTTTTCCATTGTTGGAAGCTTTTTAAAACAAATAAACAATAATCTGTACTTTTTATGTATAAATCTGACAACAGCATTGGACGACAGCGCCTCTGCCGTCTGTAGTCGCAAGCTTTTAGCGGAACAAATTGCGCCATAAGAGTTGCACATGCATGGTCAGGACCTGTTTCACCTTGGCAAGTTGTCAGGACCTGTTTCACCTTGTCAGGTTGTCCAGGTAGGCAATAAAGTAGCACTTTATTTTACTAGTAAAATAAAGTAGCACTTTATTTTACTAGTACAATAAAGTGCTACTTTAATCTCGTTTGCATTTTGCATCTTCCTTTTTTGGCTATTATGTTATCATCCATATTTATCTAAAATACATGTTTTTAATAGATATTCTTGAAAACGAGTAAAACTACCAACAGAAATCTCCATAAAATGTCTCTTTTATGATGACTTTTTTGAGAACATACTTTCTAGTACCCAAAAAAAAAACGTTTCTCAAATGTTTTCACCAACGGTTTCAAATAAGATTTGTATAAACGTTTGAAAAACGTCCCATTACTTTTGGTACAAACATTAACTTTTATGATGTAATGGTAATGATATCAATCTTATAACAAAGCTTACTAAATGTAAAGACTCAACAGCTAAGAGTAAGGCTAAGAGAACAATATTGACTATACAATGGATTAAAAAAACATTACCTGGAGAAGGAGAAGCCGGTAAAAAAAGTTTTTGAACATAAAGTTTTGTAAAATTATTGATCAGGTACAGAAGTATCACAGTATCACAATTTATATGGCACTCATCTATCACAAAACACTATCAAACTACCCCATTATAAAACTCGTCCAAATCGTAATACGCTTTGGTAAGCATAAAAACTTCTTTTAGTTCATTCTTAAATTTTAAAGCAGACTGAATATTCTTAATTGAATCAAGCCAATGATCAAAGATCTTCTTGCTTCTTGCTCTTACTATCCTAATAGTAAAGGATCGCACCATCAGTATAGTTTGCTTGAAGGTATGGGAAGCGTAATATTGTGTAAACCACGGGTCATATAACTACTATCGAGACGAATCCCGAACACCCGCACCACAAACAATTCTTGGGGCTTGCTTCTGCAAAATCAAAAGAACAATAAATAGAGTTTTGGACGTGAAACCCCAAAATGGCAAACCATATCGAAGGCGCAAAATACCCTCAAAGCCGCGCGTCAATAAGGAGGCCCAAAAACCCATATACTCATCACTGTCCTGGATGTGACGGTTATCATCCAATGGCGACGCCAGGGTTTTACGTTAGGGGGGGCCATGCTGGGCCAGAAAAAATTAGGGGGGGCACTTGTTCTTACTCTATTGCTTTTCTTCTTTGAAATAAAAAATGGGAATTGCAAAGTTTACCCGTATATTTTTGCACTCCACCTGTAGCTGTATTCTTGAAACAGGGAAGCAGCGTTCCCAGAAGAACGAGTGTTCCGTCTTTGTTGCTTATATTATCATTTGCATATCATTGAGAAAAACGGAACACTCGTTCTCCTGGGAACTCTGCTCCCCTATTTCAAGAATAATTAAGGGTTCTGAACAGCTTAATTGAATGTATCAAAAAGGTTTTTATTGGATTTTGTATACAGGGTGTCCGTTTTTCGAGGACAACCATTGGAATATAGGAAACGGTAAGAGATACAAAATCGGAATCAATGGCCAAATGTGTTACTGCTTTTGGGAGATAAAGAAACTCCGAATACAATTCATAAAAATGCAAACCTCTATTCAAAAAAATAAAGTTGATGATGATCGGCAAAAGACGAAACTATTATGTAGAGGGGAGAAAGTTGCCCCAATAAAGTGAAGTTTATTTGAAATACCTTCACAAATGAGTCCAGGAAAATATAGAAATGATTTTACAAAATTTTGATTTCCATGTATCTCCGGAAGTATTCGGAATTTTCCAAATTTCGAAGTAGCGTTTTGTTAAGCAAGAAATTGCGCAACTTTATTCCAATTTAACCGAACCTGTATCTCTTACCGTTTCCTTTATTCCAATGATTGCTCTCGAAAAACGGACACCCTGTATAGGTAAATCTTCTTGATACCTATTCAATTAACCGTTCAGGGTCGGTTTCTCGATAGCTAGTCCAGGGTAAACGTGTCCAATTGCAATGTTTACCCTGGAGTTATGGTTAACTGCTCTGACCCGGGGGTGACTTGCTTGCTATTGAGAAACCGGCCTTCAGGTGAGGTGCCAAAAACACACAGGAAAACCCTGTACCTGCCGACACAAATATGTTTGGGGGAATCCCAGAAAAGCGAAAGCATAGTCGCGGTTGCCTGGCGCCCACCAAATATCAAATTAACCAGAGAGCAGAGGTTACTTATGTTGCATTACATTGTTTTCGACATGAAGGCAAGTTTTCAGGGGTGGCCACGGCCCCCCCTGGCCCCTCCCTGGCGTCGCCACTGTTATCATCAAGCCGCAGACCATCAACACTGCACTTAAACCCCATAATTCTAGTCTTATTTGCATTAAAGACTTAAAGACCAATAATTTATTAGAGACTCTCTTAATTAGTATTTAGTAGTCAGATCAGATGCGATTAGGGTCCCCAGTACTTCCGAATCAGGCTTTCGCCAAAAAAATAGTGGTATGTACATCCAGGGCCGGATTTAGGCACAGGCAACCGAGGCAACCGCTTAGGGCGCCACAATTAGGGGCGCCAAATTGACAACAAATTTATTTCGAGTGAACACGTTAAATTTTAAAAAAATGTTCTATATCACAAGGATGATATAGGGAGATAAAAGATCCAACAACATTGTCCGGTAATAGTTAATTTACGAATCACCACTGTCACCTGTCACCGCTCATCAAGGCACTTTCGATCCTCTTTGCCTCAAAACAGATTGAATGGACTTTCGCTCTCAGAATTGAAAATGTTATAACCTTCGACCACCGAACACACTCGATCCCGATGGTTATAATATGTTAGATGGTGTAGATTATAGTAGGTCTGTTCTCACAGGAATCACAAACCAGCCAGAGCGTTTTTCATTGGCGCAAATCTCCAACAACCAGTTTTATGACTATTTTCAACCAATGAAATTCCCACTGACTGGTTTTGTGATTTCTGTGCATGAGAATGAACTTAACAACGAACTCATCTCTGACTTTGCAAGACGTAAAGCCAGACTGGTTCATTTTTAGTGTTGATAATTTAATTAGTTTTGGAAAACTATTTTTGTGTTTAGTTAATTTGAAAAATACATATTATACAGGGTGTCCGGAAAATAGCGTAAAAGCTCTCCAAGTAGGGGATCCTTAATTTGAGTAACCCTGGAAAAATAATTTAAAAATCCTTCTCGACCATTCTTAGAAATATGAAAAGGTAAATGTGGAAATTCAACTTCCTTATTTTTGATTTTTCTTTCAAATTGTAATATTTTGTACAAAGTGTTAGGTATCTTTTGTTGATTCATTACATATTGGTTTATAAAAATTTGTTGTTAACCTTTAAAACGCATTATGAAAATTGCAAAATCTCTAAATTACAACAGGAAAAATTGATCTGACAACATTTTTCAGTCACCTTCGAATTTTCCAGGTTATACAACTCACTGTACATTATTCCCATATGACACGAGAGGCTTAATAAGCACCACTTCTCCTTCGGAGTCGTAGTGTTGCTGCGTAACGCGTCTACCGATTTTAATAAACATTAAAATGCTAATAACTTTCTTAAGAATGCCACCAGATTTTTTAAATTATTTTTCTGGGGTTCCTTGAAGGGTCCTCTATACTACGTAGTTGAGAGCTTTTGCGGTATTTTCCGGACACCCTGTATATCTATTTTTTTTATATCTACAATATAGATCTGTTCTCACAGACATCATATACCTAGGTATCAGAGAGAATTTAATTGGTTATAAACTATCAGAAAACTAGTTTCTGGCGATTTGCACCAATCCAAAACACTCCGACTGGTTTGTGATTTCTGTGAGAACAGACCTCATGTAATAAGTAAATGTATGATATACGCTTCTAAAAAAAATTTCTTACTCTCTAAGCGATTGCCTAAAATTCATTGTTTATCATATTGATCTTTAAACATTTTGACAAATTAATTTGAGAAGGGAGGCGCCAGAATTGAACTTTGCCTCGGCATGAAATACCTATTGGACCGGCCCTGTGTATATCATCTGCAAACTGAATAATTTTTCCTTGAATTGGCAAAAAGCTCAGATGATTAATATATAACAGTATAATAAGGGGCCTGAAACAGAACCCTGGGGCACTCTACAGTTGATAACAAGAGAATAGGAGTAGTTACCAGAAAGCAAGACACGTTATGACGTCAACCCGAAAGATAAGACCTAACCCAAAGCGGTCCCCCTGAAACCATGAGACTCCAGTTTTGAAAGCAACAGCCCATGATCCACACACGCTTTGGACAGAGCGAAAAATACCGCTGCAGTTGATTCTCTTCCCAAGTTACTATAGAATGGTTACTTTATGTTTATGCTTAAAAATTTCGAAAATTTCATAGTAGATACATCGAACGTACAAATTATTGTTCTGTTATTTTTTTTTATTATTAAAAAAATAAGTATTATTTGTAGGTACTTAAGAATGCCTAACCTAATATATTAAGAAAAAATTAGTCGATTTGTTTTTAATACCAGGTGTTGCAAAAGAAATGGTGTCAAATATTGGTGTTAAAATTTACATTACGTAGGTACGTTCCTTCTATCTCGTAGAAAAAATAGTCTTCCTAACTCGTGCGGAAAGTCTCTTTTCCGCACTAGTTAGGAAATATACTATTCTAGAAACTTATAGAAGCTATATTGGTGTTGACACTAAGGATATTTATGCTACTAGTGCTATAAATGATGTGATTCTCTTTTGAACGAGCTGTTCAATCACCTTAGAGAGTGTGGATAAAATAGAAACTGGCCGAAAATTAGAAGGTTCCTCCTTAATCACCTCCCTCAGGAGCATTGAGCATTACAATGGCTAGTTTAAGACAATCTGGAAACACACACCTCTTGAAAAAGAATCGTTACTTAATTGCCAGAGCCAAGGACAAAAAGAGCGTTTTCAGGCAGACCCAGAAATAATCTCGAAGATAAGTCGTCGTCTCCGGAAGAGTTTTTATTGCGTAAATCAGCCAAAACTTCTTTGAACATTGGTAGGGGCGAAAAAGAAAGGAAATAGTTCAGAGAATTGGGATCCAGTTCAGCATTAAATGTCTTGGTACGTTCACTAGAACGGAGCTCATTCATCATTGACCAAGACTCTCTAGATTTGTTCTT